ATTGCTTAATTATTTTTTTATTAATATCAGATACGCTACTGCCCTATCTGACACTACAGAAATATTTTAAATTTTTGTGATCGCGAAACAGATACCGGAAGCCATTTAGAACGAAACACGGGGGACAATCACCCCCTACGGTCTCCCGTTATGACAGGAACCGCTACCAGACTCTGCAAACGGCGTTTTAATTATGCAAATATTAAATTTGCGCCTTTTGAAAGTGTATATTTTGTCATTAACCGTGCAATACAAACTATCCAGAGAGTATATTTGACAACGAAAACGGGAAACCTTGCTACGATTTAAAATAAAATTGCTGTTTTACACTGAAAAAAGCAGAGTTAGATATATTTCCTGGAAAATATCTCTACCTCTGTGAATAGTGGAGACGTCAGAGTAACCTGATAACGGATAAAATACAGTAAGAGCTTCCTCAGGATGTACATGTACAGCATATAAATGGTGGTTAATTTGTTCTACTATCTAAGTAGGTTAAGACCATAATGGAAAACTTGCTGACACTGTAGTAAGTTATGATCAATTCGAAATGTAGTTTGCATTTCTGAATAGAGCTGAATGGATTCTCACATGGAGGGTTGGATTCACATGGAGATGTTGTTGGTTTCCATTACAGTAGCAGCTATGGTAGCATGGGTGTAGCTTGTTACATATTTTATGCACCACGTGTTTTGGGTTGTCCTACCAAAAAGGGGGACTAGAGAACATTCAAAATGGAGAAAAAACTACAAAAAGAGATCTTGTGTTAGCGACAGCATAAATTTAAATATTGCCTTGCCATGGGATTCCAGAAATTAGCAGGTATAAAAAAAGGAGTTGAACTCTATAGACTTTTTGGTGATGCAGATATTGTGAAGACCATCAAAATAAACCGCCTAAGGTGGGTGGGCCACGTTATGCGGTATGCAGTGCCTAAAACAGCAGGCCGGTCGGAAGAAGAAGAAGGGGGCGACCTAAACTCAGATATCTGGACGATGTACAGGAAGATCTGAGGGAGATTGGAGTGAGGTGCTGGAGAAGACAGACACTCGATAGGGAAGGATGGAAGAATGTTTTGAAGCAGGCCAAGGCTCACGAAGGGCTGTAGCGCCAACTGATGAAAAAAAGGAGTTGGCAAGGACAGTCAAATGAATATAATTATTAGTAAAACAAATTATGAAAGTTAAATGACTTAAATAAAACATGTATCTACATACACCTTTAACAAAATTTAAAAAGGAAATTATAAAAAAGATACTGAATATCGGTGAAATATTAAACTTAATTGTCAACTTTTTCCAAGATAAATTTAACTGCAGAAATGAGTATATGAACAAAAACTATACGTGGATATCTGCTTCTTGATGTGCCTATCCGTTACGAATGTTGGCGATCATCATGGCAATCTGTATCTTATCTGCATCAGCGCGGAAAAAGCTGCACATATGTTGTATTGAACCAGATTCTGAGGTTCTTTAACCAAGATGTTCTTCTTCTTCGTGGACCTCGTTTTCCAAATATTTTTCCTTGCAGAATGACTTGAAGGAGAGCATATCTGGATTCATTTCGATAATACATATGTCCGAAGAATTGTAAGTTACGAGATTTGATGGTGGTCAGTACCTCTCGGTTCTTATACATTCTCCTGAGGATCTCCTCATTTGTGACTCGGTCAGTCCATGGGATTTTAAGTATTCTCCGATATAGCCACATCTCAAATGCTTCCAGTTTTCTGCACATATCTTCGTTCAAGGTCCACGATTCAACAGCATAAAAAAGGACAGAGAAGACGTAGCATCGCAGCATTTTTACTTTTGTATCAAGAGAGAGGTTGTGACTCTTGAAGAAGGCTCCCATCCGATTGAAGGTAGATCTAGCTTTTCCGATGCGTGCTGTAATCTTTTGGTTGTTATGACTGGTTGGGGGAAATTTGAATTTTACATAGCTTGTAGATTCTCTTATGAATTATCTTTAGGAACAATTTTGGGAGATGACTCATGAGGTTTATAGTACGGTAATCTTCACATTTTTTGGCTCCTGGTTTTTTTGGAAGTACAATAAACTCACCCTTCTGTTGGTATTTCCAATGTATCTGTTGTTAATACTTTGTGATTTTGCTTGATTCATTGTCTATTAGTTTGAGTAGTTCTGCTCGTATATTATCCTGCCTGTCGCTTGCCATCCTTTAACTGTGTTATTGCGGAATAAACTTCTTGCTGTAATATTCTTGGTCCATCATTTGCCTCTTCTTCTAGCTCAAAGGTGTTATCTCTTTGGTCTTTAAATAGTTTTTCTAGATATTCTTTCCACGTTCTTATTTTACTCTGTTTGTCCAAGATGAAGTTTCCGTCAGAATCAGTTATATTTCCTTTCGGCCTTCGTCTTAGTCCTCCTGTGAGTTCTTTAACTTTATTATGTACATTGTGACTATCCTACTTTGACTGCAGAGTCTCAATTTCTTCGCATTTTCCTTGCTTCTTTTTCTTTCGCTTTTGTGATTTTCGTTCTTATTATTATATTTATGGTTTTATATTTGTCTGGGTCATTTTTGGCTTCTTTCTCTCGTCCATTAGTTTCAGGATCTTCTTCATTAATATTTTCTGTATTTAAGTAGTTTATCTTTATCATTTTGCACTATTTCTGTAATATGTTTGATCGTTTGTTCTTCATTCAATTCGTCTCTAATTGCAGTCACTTCGTGCTCGTTTAACGTGGCTTGGACTCTTATCCTCGTATCAAGGTCTTTCAGCATACGTAGGTCGTATGATTGTGCTTTCCTTTTCTGCATTGTTTTGAGTTTGACTCGAAATACCTTCACCAGTGGAACGTGGTCTTTCTCCAATTCTGCTCCAGGATAAGTCTTGACAGATGTAAAGCTGTTTCGAAATCTTTTATTTACTAAAATGTGGATGTACAAAGACTTAATGAGAATAGAATCGAAATAAGCGATAAAATTTAAATTGAAGAATACATATTAATATAATTATAATATTTTAATAGAAAAGTTGAACGGCAACTATTTTTAGAATAAAAATAGTAAAACAAAACAGAAAGTTGAAACACATAAATAAAATCAAAATAAGTTGTAGTAAAATAATTATTTGAAGAAAAATATCAAACATGTGATGTTTATAATGTTACACTATATTCTGGAAAGTTTTTGGCGATATTTAATTCTGACAAGATAGTGATCCGAACAGCAATCGGCTCGCGCGTCTGTATAATACTAATACTACATCTTAATAATAAATAATACTACCAGATACCTACATGTAATATGTGAAATTTTTATTATTTAGCGTATGGACTTTCACAGTACGATAAATATACAAATACAATTACAATAATATACACATATATATTATATATATTATTCAAACACTAAAAATAGTAAAAATAATGAATGAATGACACTAAATATTAATGTCCAATTTACATAGCCATTCAATTGCTTCTGGGGAACATTCCGCAAAGTCCTGGAGGTTTCCACGGTAGGCACGATTCAAGCAGTCTGAAACACAATGGCTTATGGTCTGTCTAGATTCTCCGCAATCGCACTGTGGACTTTCTGCACGACCCCACCTGAACAGCGAATCAGCACATTTACCATGTCCGGTACGTATACGATTAAGCCTTGCCCAAATGGACCGGGGCAGATTTGATCCGATGAAACCCTGAGTTGGGGTGGATATCTTAATATAGTCCGATTCTACTGTTGGCATCCATCTTGTTGTCCATTGCCTATGTATATCATAGGAATTACCAATTTTTCGGGCAGATCGTATTGGAGGATTTCTAGATCTCAATCGATGGTGCTCTTTTGAGATGTCTGGGATATCTTGATGTATTGGTAATTGTACGTTGGCTACAATTTTCTGGTACTCTCTCACTAATGCTGCTGTACGGCGTAGATCTGGTGGAGCGATATTGCTCAGAGTAGGCAGCCATCTCACTGGCGTTGATTTTATTGTTCCAGTGATTATTCTCATGGTTTGGTTAAGTTGGACATCGATTTTGCTTGTATGTGCACTATTTAGCCATACTGGTGCACAATATTCTGCCACTGAAAAAACCAAAGCTAGAGCAGAGGTCCGAAGAGTATCTGCAGAAGCACCCCAAGTTGTTCCAGCAAGTTTTGATATTAAGTTATTTCGTGTTCTTAGTTTACCGGCTGCGTTTGTAAGATGACTTTTGAAGGTGAGTGTTCTATCAAGTGTGACGCCTAGATATTTGGGGTTGTTGTTATGTTTGATAGCTGTGTCATTTAGAGTTACATTGAGAGTATCGCCCGCAAGTTGATTCGACAGATGAAAGAGACAGGTTTCAGTTTTGCTTGTGTTAGGACGTAAGCGCCAGTTCTTAAAATAGTTACTTAGTGTAGATAAGTCCTCGTTTAGAGCTCGTTCTCCTGCTTCTTTACTATTATCTTGGAAGCCAATGGCCAGGTCGTCAGCATAAGCAAATTTTCTCGATTTGTTTCAGGTATATCTGCTGTGTAAAGGTTAAATAATAAAGGAGCTAGCACTGAGCCTTGAGGTAAGCCGTTGTTGAGTTTTCTAACGTTACTCTGTGCATCATTTATATATACCTGAAACAGTCTGTTAGTCAGTAGATTGTTTATCAGCTGACAAGTTTTGAGGCAAGGTATGATTTTCATCAGCTTATAAATAAGGCCCTCTCTCCACACCGTGTCATAGGCAGCCGTGAGATCTATAAATGTTATGGCAGATTTTTTTGCGTCTTTCAAAGCCAGCTTCAATAAATGTAGTTAAGGACAGCACTTGGTCACAGCAAATATGTGAAATAAATATATAACTGAAACTTGAGGCTCTTTGAAAATTGAAACGTTAAATATTTATTGCTTCCTATTAATTTAATCGATAATAAATCATACTTTTTGAATTCTGCGCAACTGAATAATAAATAAAGCATTGTTCACTTTAAATATTAATGGATCTGATTACCCATAGAAATAATCGATAACCTTATATACGTACCTACTATACTATAAATAACCTATTAACGTATTGTTTTTTTGTTTACAGGAATATCCCAGTTGGCCCAATGCGGACAACTAGGAGAATTACCGGAACTTCCAGCACCGGATGAGCAACGTCTTCAGAGAGCGGCGCTCGTTCTTCAACAGAGATTAGTTCTTCGACAGTGGCTTTACAAATACAACTTGCATTCTTACTATCCTAAGTTGCTGCCTGTAGAAGTAACCTCTCTGGAAGACGTTTATTGGCTGGAAGATAACAAGGCTAAACAGGTTAGTTTATTATTAATTTATTTCTACTCTTGTAATGCTTGAACTTAGGAAGTGTATTCAATAATAAAAAAAAGTGGTACAGTAGGCGATACGTAGCTAGCGAGTCATACTATGTGTTCTGTATTTTTTAAATTGAAGTAATATGTTTAAAATTGAATACAGAAGTTTTATTATTTAGTTATTATTTTTATAGATTTTATTAAAATTGATAAAGTTTACATGTTGTATAACGGTCACCCTCATCACGTAATTGGACTCTTCCAATTGTGTACTATTTCGTAAAAAGCCATAGGATAAAAGCACCAGTTATTGGCCTCTTAAGAAGAGCACATCGATATATCTATAAAATGTTTTGACACTGTGGGCTATTATCACTATATTTTTGACATCATGGAATTTTATTATTATTTCTTCTTTCTATTGTTGCACAATTTTATGTTAATCTTCCATGTCTGAAACTATTTTACATGTATTCTTTTGTAAATGTGCAAATGAACGTGATATTGGCCACACTGTTCCAGATATTGTCACGTGATATTTTACCTCTTAACTCGTAATTTAAGATGGTGGGTAGGTAGGTACCTATTTGGTACCTAAGCAAGGATTTTGTAATAAGTGTGGACACAAAAAAACAGCATGTCAAAGTAAACTTTTATTTTTTATTCTGACAAGATTCGCAAACATATACTTGATCTGTCGTCCCTGTAGAATCTAGTTACTCATGATTTGTTCTAAGACACATTTGACATCTAATGCTTTCCTTATATTCTGTAATATTTAGTACACATAGATAGCCCACACCTTTAGAAACTTTTTGATGTTTAAAATGTGATGTAATTTTAATAAGTTTGTATTTTTAGAGTTCGAAAGAATGTTTGATATCGAGTTACGATTTTCGAAGTGTGAAGTAATATTTATAATAACGGCCGTATCTAGGTCACATCATGCGAAATGAAAAATACCAGTTCCTCCAACTTATAATCGAGGGTAAAATTGAAGGCAAGAGAGGAATGGGACGCAAGAAAATGTCCTGGCTCCGAAACATAAGGCAATGGACAGGGATTAACGACATACAATCTCTGATACATATTGCAAGAAATAGAGAGTTAATGGAAAATGTGATCGCTAACATCCATTAGTGGATTTGCATCTGAAGAAGAAGAAGAAGTAATATTTGATATAAATTATCAGACAGAATTGTAATTTTTGTTGAGGACTGTTTTGTATTATCACCAAATAATTTTCGTTTGTCTACAATTTGTTTCTCAGGGTTTGGAGATTGTGGGCGAGATATATTTTTGGAAATAATCTTAAATTCGCTTCTGGTGTAGGTGAATTCATGAGAATATCAATCTTATTTTGGATATTTACAGGGCTTGATGATTTTGTGTGAAAATGAAATTCTGGTGTAGGAACTTAACAAATTCAGGTAGTGGAGGTTCAAAAATCTCAATATTGTTAGTTCTACTTTCCTGGTGTAGAGTTGTTAACACTTTCAATGCTTTTTTGACTTTTCTTGATATTTTGTAATGCTTGAATTAATTTGTGATAGTTTTTTATGATAATTTGTAATTGTCTAGTTTGATTGTGAACTTTTACACCTTTTGTAGTTTTTTTTGACGGTCATTTTTTATTGTGTTTGTCTACTTTCCTCTTTAGTTTTTTCGATTTTTTCTCTTTTTTTACGCTCCTCTTCTAAATTTTTTTCCATTTTTTCTTTTTATATCTTTTATCTGTCAAAGTTAGAACAAATGGAAGCTTTTGAGTTTGCTTCTTGCCTTTTCGTGCTGGAGTATCTGGCCATACTAAGTAAGTAGCAATAGATTTATTTGTAGTAAGTATTTACAGGTATATTTTCAGAAATATTTAGGGTTGTTTCGTATTTTTTGGATATATATTCTTTAACCGTTTTGATTCAACCGTGAACACTTGATTCAACTTGATTTGTATGGTCTTATTACAGGTATATCATTTATCTCAAAAATTACTTCAGATTGTTTCTAAAATTTTTGCTTCTTCGTCTAAAACATTTTCTTTTTCGTAATTTGGAGAAATTCATACTGAAGACTTTTCTACAAATCCTGAAAAGATTTGTTTCAATATTTGGTTTTTACAAGTTTTACAATTATTTCGACATGGCTGTTTAATCTAAACACAACTTTTTGAAGACAAAGAGAGAACAGAAGCACCAAAAGAATTTAAGGATGATACTGGGCCTGACATTATACGAGAAGAAATTGAATATGCAATGAAACAAGCTAAAGGTGGTAAATCTCCCGGGCCTGATGAAGTTCCTATCGATTTACTCAAAATTGTGAATACTGAATCTATTGACTCTTTGATTATTCAATACCATATATAGAACAGGTATAATACCTAAAGAATGGCTTCAATCAACATTCATACTGCTTCACAAAAAAGCCAATGCAAAGGAGTGCAATGAACATCGCACCATAGCCTTTTTAATGAGTCATGTCTTGAAATTGTTTTTAAAAGTAGTTCACAATAGAATACATAAGAAATTAGATGCATAAGTAATACACAAATGGGATTTAGGAAAGGACTGGGAACACGAGATGCACTGTTAGCAGTAAGTGTTCTTTCGCAGAGATGCTTAGATATTAATCAGGAAGTATATGCCTGTTTCATTGATTTTGAGAAGGCATTTGACAGAGTGCAGCATAATCGGCTTAAAGAAATTTTATTAAATAAAAACATAGACAGTAGAGACATTAGAATCATTTGTAACCTCTATTGGAACCAAACAGCAAAGGTGAAAGTTGAAAATGAACTGACTGAGGATATCCAGATTCGCCGTGGGGTCCGCCAAGGGTGTATTTTATCACCCTTGTTATTCAATTTATACAGTGAAGCCATCTCAGAATTAGCGCTTGCCGAGATCAGTGAGGGCCTTATAATAAACGGTGAGCCACTTAATAACATAAGATATGCTGACGACACCGTCCTTCTGGCAGGAACACTAGAAGAACTGCAACATCTTGCTGAACAACTAAATATATATTGAAACGATTATGGACTAAAAATCAATTTGAAGAAAACCAAGTTCATGGTATTAACAAAAGCACAAACCATCAAAGTTAAGCTAGTACTAGATAATATAGAAATTGAACAAATATCTTCGTACAAATACCTTGGAGCATGGATCACAGAAGATACTGATCAGACAAAAGAAATAAGATGCCGCATTGAAATTGCACGGTCAACTTTTAATAGAATGAGAAAACTTTTTTGTAATCGCGATATCAATATATCGCTCCGGATAAGAATGCTCCGATGTTATATTTTCTCTACCCTTTTGTATGGAGTTGAAGCTTGGACACTTAAAAAATCCAACATTAAATACCTAGAAGCATTCGAAATGTGGTGTTACCGACGTATTTTGAAAATATGATGGAAGCATCGCAAAACAAACGAACAAGTTCTCGAACAACTAGGAAAACAATGCGAAGTTTTAAATTCCATAAAAATCAGGAAATTGGAATACTTGGGCTCATGAGAGGGAAAAAATACGAACTACTAAGGAATATAATGCAGGGTAAAATCAAAGGCAGAAGAAGCGTAGGAAGACGTAAAATCTCGTGGCTACGCAATCTCCGTGAATGGTTTGGATGCAGTTCAATTGAACTATTCAGGCGCATAACCAACAAAATTATAATTGCCAGAATGATTTCCAATCTCCGATAGGAGTGGAACTTGAAGAAGAAGAAGAAGCTGTTTAATTTTGTCATTGCCAACTATTTCACAAAATTGTTTATAATAAATTGTTGTATTTGAATCAGTAAGTGTTGGCAAATCTTTGTGCTCATCCAGATTACCTATAGTTTCAAATTATTTCCCAAGACATTTTGTATAGTCAAGTGGAGACAAATTCCAATGGAATATACCGCATGCCCTAAATCCACTTCTGATAACATTTGAATTTAACATATCTATAACAGATTTTAAAACTGGAGCAAACTGTACATTTTTAACACTTTTGGGGGTTGTCTTCTCCTAAACTGAAGCACAGCTTTGTTCCAAAAGATTTTTAGAGACTTAAACACAGTCACATCCTCTGGTTGTCTTAATCTAGTTTCATTAGGGTATATAGCTACTAAAAATTTTTCAAATCTCTACAAAGTTGACTTGTCTGTACAGTTGGGTTTTATGCCCATCAACAAAAAGTATCACCGGAAGTGTACTATTATTTTGATCTAAATAAGGGTTAAATATATATTCCATTGTATTCGTAAAAGTTTTTGTTATCCATCAACCATTTTCTGTTAAGCCAATACCCCACGAATTCGACACGGCAATCATTAATCAATCTCTTATGGGGATAAATTATCATCGAAGTAAATGTTTCCTATTGCAGAAAATATGAAAATAAGTTAACCTTTGGGTTATGTTCAATTTCATAGACATTTCTGGAACCCTTCATAGCCAAAACCTTTTTATTTTTGGGACATAAATAAAAGCATGTCTCGTCACTATTGAAGATCCTTGTTGGGTCTCTTTGTTGGATCAATTGAAGAACATCTTCAATTCCTTTTTTATCTAGGTAAGTTTTTATGTTGCCAAATCATTTGGTAATGTCCTTTGGTTAAAGTTTGAACTTGATGATGTCACTCCCTCTGAAGTCCTTAGGGAAATGTTGGGATAGCACTTAAAAAATGCAGGTAGCCATGTTCTACCTGGTCTATTTTTAACAAACGGATTCACTCTCGGGTTACTATCAAAAAAATATTTTAAAGACGTCCTTAATGTGATCAACACGAATAGGAAATCCTCTATTTTCACAATGTAAAATTCAGAGTTGTTCCTCTCCATTCTTCGAAAAAATGGACCTGGTTCATGAGTTATCTTGTGAAATTTTTCACTTTTGCGGTATTGAATATTTTGAATTAACGCTTTTTAAACATCGTTTTCGGAATATTTTTTTTTTATGGTTTCAGTTTTAGATCTTTTTGAATAGTTGCTAAAAAATATAATACAGTCCT